CATCCCTAAACAAAACATACTACTATTGCAGCAGAATTGTAATACTATTATTGTAAGTATATGTCCTTTTGCAACTTGCTACCCACCCCCCATGTAATGTTTATGAGATGTTGCTGCAGGTAGCTCTAGTTCATTCATTTCATTGCTGGTTATTACACTACAGTGTAAACATACAGAATTATTCATTTTAACTTCAGTGAGCACTTATATGCTTCCGGAATGTTTTTCTATTACAAACATTGCTGCTATTACTGTACCTGCTTCCTGTGCCCACATGCGTATTTTTTCTCGAGGCTCTGTGCTAGCTGTAGAATTGTTGGATCAAAGGTATGCTTATCTTCAAGTATCCCTCATATGCCGCCAAATTATTCTCCAAAGGGGTTGTGCTCATTCACACTCCCCCAGCAGATAAATTCCCATTCTAGTATTTTCATAACTAAACTTTTGAAAATCTTACCATCTTATTTTAATTTGCATGTCTTTGACTACCAGTTAGGCAGAAGAGCCTGGTAAGTAGTTTTTTGTTTGTTTGTTTGTTTGTTTGTTTGTTTCCTGAGCACTGCCTGCTACTATTTAGCAACACTTTTCTCTTGAGTTGTCTTTTTCTTATTAATTATTGGAGTTCTTTGCGTATTCTTTCTAATAACTATATCAAATCTATGGATGATGGGGCTGGCATGTGGGGTGGTGGTTATGGTGCTAGACTCCCACATGGCCAACAGCAGTTCAAGTTCCTGACCTGGTGGTTTGCTTTCTCATTTTCCCTCTCTCTGGTGAATTCACATGCCCCGTAGCAAATTAAAACATAATAATACTGATAAATAAAAATAATTCTATGGATCATAAAGTAGAGGGTTTTTAAAAAGTTTATTTAATTTAGTTCTTCTTCTATGCATGAAAGAGATAGAGAGGGAGAGACAAAAAGCATTCCCGACAGCATCTTGATGCCACCAGCCACCCCAGGCACAGTCAGCCACAGATTATGGGCCCATGCATGAGAAGGTTTCCCAATGCAAATCTGAAGCCTTCCTGTGTGGGTCGGCCTTGCAGAGTGTCACATTTTACTGATGTACCATGATCTGGCCTCTGTACAACAGGCTTATGTTTAACTTTGAGGGAAACTTCCAGAGGGAAACTCCCCTTATATGGCATAAGAATTCTAGTTGCTCCATATTCTTAACATTTGATATGGTTGGTCTTCTTAATATTAGCTACTCTACAGGGACACAGTGAAAACATTGCAGCTTTTATTTGAATTTCACTGATAATTTATAATGTTGGGCATTTTTCATTTGCTTCTTGGCCATTTGTATATATTCCATGAGAAATGTCTATTCAGAGCTCTTGCTCACTTTTTAAAAAAATAATTATTTATTTAATTTTATTTATTCATTCATTTATTTTAATTTGACCACAAGTTGAAACAGAGAGTGAGAAAGAGAGGGAGGGAAAGTGAGAAAGCAAGACACCAGGTCCGGGACTCAAACCGTGGTCAGCTATGTGGGAGTGTCCAGCACCTTAACCACCATGCCACTTGCTGGTCCCAGATCTCTTGCTTGCTTTTTAAAATTAGGTGATAATTTAATTATTGAGTTGAAGTTATCTATGTATTCTAGGTATATTCTAGATAAATGTATTAGGGATTTTTTTTATCACAGTGGGTAGCTTGTCTATTTTGTTTTTTAAAGAATTTTTTGGGCTCTTTGCTGTGCCTTCTGCGAGGATGAAGACCATTCTCAGCAACCAGACCATCGACATTCCCGAGAACATCTACGTCACCCTGAAGGGACGCACCTTTATCATGAAGGGGCCCAGAGGATCCCTGCGGAGGGACTTCTACCACATCAATGTTGAACTCAGTCTCCTTAGAAAGAAAAAGAAGAGGCTGAGGGTTGACAAATGGTGGGGAAACAGAAAGGAACTGGCTACCATTCACACTGTCTGTAGTCATGTCCAGAACATGATCAAGGGGGTTACATTGGGCTTCCGTGATGAGATGAGGTCTGTGAACGCTCATTTCCCCATTAATGTTATCACTCAGGAGAACGGGTCTCTTGCTGAAATCCGAAATTTCTCAGGTGAAAAATATATCCAGAGAGACCAGCAGATAGCATAATGGCTATGTCACTGGACTCCCATGTAGTCGACCATGGTTCGAGTCCCAGACCCAGTGGCTTAAACTCATGCTGGGTGCGTGTGTGCATACCCAAGATCCCGAGAGGAGAATGGAGGACTCCAACACCTCAATCACCACGCCACTTGCTGACCCTAGTAATTTCCTTTTTTCTCTTCCTTTCTTTCTTTTTTTCTTTCTTCTTTCATTCTTTCTCTTTTTAAAAAATTACCAGAGGGTATGTGGGCTCACCAGAGAGAGAGAGAGAGAGAGAGAGAGAACCTCTCCAAAAAATAAAAGAAAATATATCCGGAGAGTTTGAAAGAGACCAGGTGTTGCTTGTTCAGTATCTCAAGCCCAGAAAGATGAGTTGATCCTTGAAGGCAATGATATTGAACTTGTTTCAAATTCAGCTGCTTTGATACAACGAGCCATGACAGTTAAACGTAAGGATATAAGAAAATTCTTGGCTGGTATCTCCATCTCTGAGAAGGGTACAGTTCGGCAGCCTGATGAGTAAGATCTAAGAGTTCTCCAGCTACAGTAACAGGCTGGATGATTTCCAAGGCCTTTTTTAAATGACATTTTAAAGATGATAATAAAAGACAACAATTGATTTGGGAAAAAAAATTTTTTGGAGAGGTTTTTTGCAATAGGGCGCATGCCCTATTTGGACACACATCCATGTGCACCTGGGATGTTATCAGGCCATGTGAGATCTGGTCCCACGTGCAGTTACTACTGTTAACTGCTACACTACAGGGCTGGCTCTTTCTATGAACTTTTTGAAATTCCTTTACATTTTTCCATTCAGTAATTTGTTTGTTTGTTTTCGTTTGTCTGTTTTTAAAAATAATTATTTATTTAATTTTATTTATTATTATCTTAATTTGACTAGAGATAGAGAGAGAAACAGAAAGGGAAAGTGAGAAAGCAAGCCACCAGGTTTGGGACTCAAGCTGTCGTGGACCATGTGAGAGTCCAACACCTCAATCACCAGGCCACCTGCTGGCCCCAATAATTTCCTTTTCTTTCTTTCTTCCTTCTTTCTTTCTTCCACTTTTTAAAAAATTACCAGAGGGTATATGGGCTCACCAGAGAGAGAGAGAGAGAACCCTGCTAGGATGTGGTATGCTACAATTCTTCTTTCCCTGTACATTCTGTCAGGATCTTGGGAACTCTTGCACATGTGCCTGGAATGTTTTTCAGGCTGCTGGGGCTAGGACTTGAACCGTGGTTGGCCACAGAGGATATGACTCCTTTAACCAGTAGGTATGAGGCTGGCCTCAGTTCTATAATTTTTTATCAAGTATAGTTTTTGTATGATTTCCCCTTCTCTATTGAAATTCTCCATTTGTTCCTTCAATATGTTTATGTTTTCCTTTAAGTCATTGGACATATTTATAAAGTCTTTTAAAAATAATTTTCTATTTAATTTTATTTATTATTATTATTATTATTTATTTTGACCAAGGAGAGACAGACAGAGCAAAAGCAAGCCAGCCATCCCAGGACTCGAACCACGGTTGGCCATGTGGGAGTCCAGCACCTTACCCACCATGCCACTTACTGGACCCTATAAAGCCTTTAATCTATTACTTCCATCATCTCTACGGCCTCTGAATCTGCTTTTTTAAACTGATTTAATTCATGGTTAAGGGTACCATTTTCTTGCTTTTTCCCATGTTTAGTAATTTGATTAGTTACTGGACATTGCGAGTGTTGCATTGCTGAGTGTAAAAATGTTATTCATTCATTTTTTTTCAGCATGTTGAGTTTTTGTACACAGCTAAAGAGCATATATGTATGTTTCAAAATAAACATAAATATTATTAAGAATATAATTATTATTACTTTGCATTATTTTTTGAATATAGGATATATTCCTCTGTGGTACAAATACTATCACATACTATCAAAATGCTGTACTTTAACTAATCCTTCTCCATGTAATTATGTTACCAGCTCCAGACAGAGTTGGGTACTTTTGTATTTCAGAATTCCTTTTATCATTTTGATTTTTTCAAGTTTATTTATTTCTTCCATGTATGAAAGAGAGCAAGCACTACCAATAGATAACAATAATAAAAAGCACAAAAGTTATAAAGCTATTCCAACAATACCAAAATCACTAGTGAGCAAAGAGGACAAATGTAGATAAAATGCTATTGTAAGTGAGCAGCTAATTCCCCCATAAGGTTGTCTCTTGATGTGGTCTCGTAGGTAAAGGCAGATTCCCACGTGGGAAAGAACTTCGAGATTATTAACATAATTGGCCAACTGCAGTTACACAATGCTTCATGGTGCTGAAGCCATATGGGAAGGCCCTAGTTCGTATTCCAAGGTCTTCCTGTACACACCAGTGCCCCTGGTACTCTCTGGCTGTGGCTGGGTGGATAGCAATGTGAACACCTTTGTAGGAGTGCTTCTCTCTCTCTCTCTCTCAGAAAAAAATGAATTAACCTAAAAAAACATAATGTGGACGGGACCAGCAGTTAGCGTAATGGCTATGTTGCTGGACTCCCACGTAGTCGACCGTGGTTCGAGTCCCGGACCCGGTGGCTTAAACTCATGTCGGGCTCCTGTGCGTGCGTGCCCAAGATCCTGAGAGGAGAATGGAGAAGGGATTGTGGGATGGCCATCCCCTCTGGGGGGTGATTTCTCGCTTTCTGTCTCTCTGTCTCTCTCTGTCTGTCTGGCGAGCGCATGCGCCCTATAGCAAAAATCTCTCCAAAAGAAAAAAAAATAATGTGGATGCATGCAAATGGTGCAAGAGTTAGAATTTCCAAAAGTTGAAGACTAAGCATATTTTCTTTTATACCTGGAAGATTTCTGGGAAAACTCTATCCTTTTTTTTTTTTTTTTTTTGGAGAGGTTTTTGCTATAGGGTGTGTGCACTTGCTAGACCGACAGAGAGACAGAGAGATAGAAAGAGAGAAATCCCCCCCCCCAGGGGGGATGGACACACCGCAATCCCTTCTCCTCCATTCTCCTCTCGGTATCTTGGACATGCACGCACACGTGGCCAGAGTGAGTTTTAAGCCACCGGGTCCAGGATGCAGGGAGTTCAGTGATGCAGCCATTACGCTAACTGCTAACTGCTGGTCCCAGAAAACTCTATCCTTTAACATACAAATAAATGTTAACAAACTACTAATGTGAGTACCCCCTTTTCTCCTACCAGATGCTTTACATTTGTACTTCTACATCCTTTCTCTCTCACTAAGTTTTCTTTCAGTTCTCCTTTTACTAGAGAGAAAGGATAGAGAAACAAACATATGTTGTCTCTCAAAATGTCAATTCTTGTCTTTCTAACTAACTTCTTTCAATTCTTCAGTTGGACTCACTTTGGTTTGCTTCCCATCTGCCAATAGCCACCAGGGAAGACTGTCCACTAACCCTCAGTTTCCCTACTTGAGTAGAGAGTCTTGAAAACTATTGTTATGTTATGAAGTAACATGCTCTTATAGTAAGAAATATAGAGACATAATATTCTTCTGTAGTTGTAGCATGCACACATAAATCTTAACATTTCAAAGTACATTTGCTATATAAAAGATACATTCTCTTATAATGGGGGATACACGTGACTATACAATTGTCAAACCCATAGAACGTGTAACACTAAGAGTGAGCCCTGTGTGGGATATTGAATGTTGGGGAGGGGAAAGCCATGGGTGTGGGGGACAGGAACTATGTGAGATGTCAGTACACTTTATACACAATTTTTTTCTGTACTAAATTGCACTAAAAATAAAGTCTATTAAATTAAAAAATATATGTATGAGCAATCTGCCATTTTTACTTAGTAATATTAGATTATCAGGAAAGACATGATGTATTTTTCTATGCAAAAATGCATCATGGGGACCAGCAGGTGGTATTGTGGTTAAGGCTCTGGATATTCCCACATGGCAGACCACGGTTTGAGTCCCAGACTTGGTGGTGTGATTTCTCAGTTTCCTTCTCTCTCTCAGTCTCTCTCTGTGTCTCTCTCTGGTCAAATTTTTTAAAAAATGAATGAATAAATTTAAAAATTAAATAATTCTTAAAAAAAATGCATCATGATTTTTCTGATGACCTAATATTATATGCCATATAGTATCCTATCTTATTGATATTCTTTTGAACTTTAGCTTTTTAAATCTTCTATATTGCTACTGAATGTTCTTATAGCCAACTCATCACTATTTCTAAGTTTAAAAAGAATCATAGACAAAAATAACATTTAAGAATAGACAAAAGCACATTTAAGAAAGCTTGATACTCAGCATCATCTCCATTGAGAACATAATAAATATTTGTTGGTTGAATGAATGAAAACTGGTAGCTTTTCATAGGGAGAGAGGGAGGGAGTGAAGTGTCAAAACCACTATTTTTCATATTTAAGAAATAAAAGAATGAAAAAATTTTAATATTTTTCATATATTCCCTACCATCCCAGCATCCAAAGAGAGGAGGCCCTTCTCCAAGGGGAGAATCTCAGATGTCAAGCCGTTGTTGAAATGTCTATGTTATTACCCCCTCCTGCATTGAGCCTCACTGCCCTGGGTGCCTTGTGATCTGTACCAGAGGATGTACTGATGAAGAAGGCAGGTATATTCAACTTCTGTGGCAGAAAACTTAACTGAGGAATTTCAGATTCTCAGAATGAGGGTCAGGTTAGCAGGGGCTTAGTTATCAGAGTTGTGCCTGGGCACCTTGGAGCCTGCTTTTCCACTTACTGTCTTTATGGACGGGGCTACTGATGCCTCTGAGTCTCGGTGCTGTCATCCATTCTAATCAACTGGGAAGACAAAGGGATATGTGTGTCCAGTGCTTATCACAATGCCTATCACATAGTAAATGTTCATGAAATATGTGATCCCTCCTTCTTTTGTAACCAGAAGGTAGCATGATGCTATGGATGAACTGAGCTATGATATTCTTTCTCAGTGTAAACGCTATTGTAGTTCCCTACATATAAAAATCCTACCTGGGAACAACCTGTACACATACATGACAATGGCGGCCTTCTCAACCCCTTCCCTGATCTCATCCACCAAACCACTTGCTGCTATCCTTGTGGGAACCTCCTGGTCTGGTCCAACCAGCACTCCCATGGGACAGAGCACTACAGACATTCCTTTCTAAGTGTCCTCACCACTACCATTCTTTGTACCTCTTGCCAGCCAGTGTTGTCACAGTCCCCCACCAACCTATGATGCCCCCCACCCTGGGATGGCTCCAACCCCATGCCGTCTAAAGTTGCCACCTCTCAACACCCTGTTCCTGTGGGCTGGGCCTGCATGGCCTCAGCATTCCCAGTTAGAGCTGGAGCAATTTCCCAGAATCACCTATCTACAAATAGCAGGGAGGTTCATCACATTGTCCCTTGAGTTATTTTGTGACAAGCAAGTTGATAAACTAAGATTGCCTGTGATCACAACACACTATGAAATCGGAATACCTGGTTTCTAGTTCTCATTTGGCCACTGACTAGCCAAGGCCTTTGGCTGAGTCATTTTGTCTCTCTGTGCT